GGTTCAGCCTAGAAGGCATCTTGGCCCGATGATATAAATCTCTATGAGTGTTGTATCTCTACAAGTGGGGAAGCAGTAAAGCCAAATCTTTTATTTATTAAAGATTCTACCTCTAAATAATTACGTGATGGATGATCCTTCACAGAAGCCAGCAACATAGTCATGGTTCTTAACCTATATAGTGTCAGAAAAGTCTTTCAGAATTTGATCTAGACTACAGATTCTCTAATTAGAAAAATACACATGAAGACAAAATTTTACTTAATTCCAGGGGGTTATACAGATAGTCTCAAGACCAGAGAGCCCAGGTTTAATAAATTAGTAGGGTTTCTGGAGCCAGAAAGATCTAGATTCAAATTCCAACTCCACTACTTGATCTCTATATGTCTGTCCTTACCCAAGGCATTCAATTTTCCAACCTCTATTTACTTATCTATAAATGGCGTAATAATATCTTTCTTTTCCTCAAGGATTTATTATAAAGAACAAATATATGCATATGAAGTTCTTTGTAAAATTTTTGTAAAGGACATTAGAAATGCTGGTTACTATAACATAAAAACAGTGTTGTGTGTTTTGCTAATCCCAGCTATGAAGAAGCTATAAGAGATGAATCCTTAGAGGAAAGCAGATTTAATTCTCATAGTTTTATTCTAGGGTATGAAAAAATAATAGAATAAATGAAGACTGTTTAGGTTAGAGGAATGGAGGTGTGGGGAAGAATATGGTTATTGCCTTGAGATATGTGAAGTGCTACATGGTGGAAAAGAAATTAAAATTGTATTCTATGTTCTTAGAAGACAGTATTAATAGATTAGAACTTTCAAACAGGCAGATTTGGCTTTATAAAAAGAAAAACTTACTAAGGATTAGAAGGGCATGAAAAAGTAATGACTACCTTAGGAGACAGTTTTGTCCTTGTAACTTAAGATCCTTCGTTTGTTTTTCCTAAGAAAAGCTGATGACCATTTGTTGTGGTCTCATAAAGAAGATTTAGAGCATTGATTGGAAAGTAAAAATCAATTCCAACAGTGAGATTCTGGGATTTCATAAAAATGTCCTGGGATTAAACCCATAAATATTATTAAGTCAGAGACCATCACCAAGGATTCTGCAATAGCAGTCAGCTTCCCTGATAAATACACTGTTATAATCTGTCACAGTCATGCACGATCATAAAAAGGGAATTAAACTTATAACATGTTTAATTATATCTAGCCATGTCGAGTTATAGCAAGAACAAAAAGGAATACTACACACATTAAAGAGGTGATTATAAAGCAATGTGAACAGTGTTTAAAAAGATTAAGAGTACAGTATAATAAAGCAGCATTCAGGACCCTCATTTTACAGGTAAAAAGTTTTTCATGGACTATAAACTACTAGTGTGTTGGTGAATGTTTAATAACCAGCTCTCTGAGAGGGGCTGGAGTCTTGATTTGTAGCACCTGCTGATTCCTGTGTTGTAAATTACACACATCACGGCCAATTTCAAGCCACCAACACGATGTCGAGGAGGTGTGCACAATCAGCTCCAGCAAGCTCCTGCTCTCGCACACCAATGAGTCTATAACTATTCTCATGATTCTTATTATATAAATTTATCATCTTCCCCCACCAAGAATAAAACCATATGTAAAGCAATGACAGCATTTCTTTAAATATAGGTTTTTCCCATTTTGGTTATAACTATAGTTACATATATGAATTTGTATTTGTGTATCAATGTCAGAGGTGCAGTTCATAGAAAAATATTTCTTCTATTAATGTTTCTCTTCTGCTGGCTTCTACACATTCTCTATGCTTATCACATATGAGAGAGAGAGCAGGGCAAGTGCTCCAGAGCTATCATGAATTAATAATATCAGAAAATTACTAATATTTTCCAACTCATTGCAGACACAATATACATGCAATTGGAATATGCTATATTCACAAAAGCCGAAAAATCATTCGGTGTAAATATCTGAATCAAGACCCGGAACAACTGCAAGTTCAGTTTAAGTATAGAAACAGTCCACATATAAAATAATGTGAATAAGTTCTGTATTCTCATAATGAATTTCATATAATAAAAAT